ATAAATAAATAAATAAATAAATAAATAAATCCAGTCACATGACTGCCAAGCCACTCCCACTCGGTCACTTGGCTAGCAAGCCACTCCCACAAAGCAAGCCACACCTACAGAAGAGGTTCTAAAAAAATTTGAAACCCACCACTGGTGTGGATCTTACTATATTTAATATTGTAGACCAGTCTTTACAGGATTTATTTATTTATTTATTTATTTATTTATTTATTTATTTATTTATTTATTTATTTATTTATTTATTTATTTATTTATTTATTAAATGTATATGCTACCCATCTCACTGTCAGGTGCCTCTGGGCAGAGAGAAACCACATTATTCCGGCAAATGTTGAAAACCGAAAACAAGGTTAGAGCAGAAATTGTGATCCTTCTTTTAAACTTCTAGGACAGAGTTGGTGAACCTTTTTGGCATCAAGTGCCGAAACAGGAATGTGCGTTGGGGGGGGGTGTAGCACCGGAAACTAGAAGAGCAGTTCTCCAGCACGAATGTGCGAGCCGGGAAGCTGAGCTTCAGGTTTCTGGCGTGGTGCATGCGCACTGATCACCTGGTCTTCCGCTTTCTGGTGTGCATGTCTGCGTGAAGACCAGCTGGCCGGAGTGCATGCATGTGCTGGAAACTGGAAGCTCAGCTTCCCACATGCACATACACTTCAGGGAGCTGCTCTTCCAGGTTCTGGCACTCTTGTACGTGCGTAGACCAGCTGGCCAGCATGGATGTGCATGCCGAAACCTGGAGGAGCAACGAACGACAGCTGGCGTGCCAAGAGAGATGGCTCTGCGTGCCACTTCTAGCATGCATGCCATAGTTTCTCCATCACGGTTCTAGGACCTCCAGCCAGTGTAGTGAAGGAAAAGGGATTCTGGGAACTGTAGTTTAGCAGCTGGAAGGGTATGGTTTCCCCCCCCCCCCCCATTGCTGAATTGAAATATTTTTCACCCATCTTTTGGTCAGCAAAAAACTACTGACATGAATTCCAGGACCAGCTAACATTTTTTTTGCAGGCTTCAATTATCAAGATCATCTTTTCTACAAATCAAAAGCTGGAGAGATGAGAAATCCCAGGGCGAACCTATTTTCTCACTCTCCTGTTTGCCCCCTCTCTTGGCAGTTTGCTCCGGGGGGCAGACGAGATTGGCTTGCGGAAGCCTGTGAAGGCTGAATTTGGGGGTGGCATGCACAGTTTCTCCTGCGAGGAAGATTACATCTACGAGAACATAGAAAATGAACTCTATTTTTTCACTTCTCAGGTGAGTCCTCTGGGGCAGGGAAGAGGAGAAAATCTCCTGGCACTGATGATGTTACCTAGTTTGGGTAATGAAGCGCCTGCAAGAAAACAAGCAAGCTCAGAGAACACCAAGGAACTCTCATGTCAGGCCCGAGCTACAAATATTCTCCTTTATTAGGAAAATCCCCTTCCTTTTTGGTACCAGTAGAAAATCCATTGATTGTTAAAGATCTCTACAGACAATCCTGCTGGGCTGATTTAAAGATTTGCTGGGTCAGACAAACTCTGGTTTCCACAAAGACTTATTACTTCAGTGCTCTCTGGAAAGGAGGGCAGAGACCTCTCTGATCTGTCCCCAAGGAGCTGTTTTTTATTAATAGTTTGCCACTCTGCAGGGAGGCTCTGTAGAGTCCTTATAGCTAATGGCCCTCCGTTTCTCTTTCTACCATGAACTCGGTTAAGACCCAAGGCTATGTGTTGCATTCATGTCCCCCGAAGCTTTGGACAAGGCATCTGAAATCTCTATGATCCAGGGGTGGGCTTCAAAAATTTCATCAGCGGGTTTTCTTCCCGGTTGCTGGGTGGGCATGGCCTAATCGGCCTCCTGCACCATGGCGGTGTGTGTGTGTGTGTGTTTTCGCCTTTCCCAGGCTCCCAAGGCTTTTCTCAAGCCTTTGGGAGGGCGAAAACTGCCTCCCTTGGACTCCCAAGGCTGTCCAGAGGTCAGAAATGGGCTCATTTACTTCCTTCCAGAACTCCTGGGAGGCCCGTTTCCCCCCCTCCCTGAGCCTCCGTGCGGGCCCTGCCCTTATCTTGCATCCAAAACAGGCCGCGTGGAGACTCCTGGGAGGGAAGGGGAGGGGTGAGAAGGGGGGGCCATCCAGGGTTGGAATTTGAAGGTTCTCCGAACTGGCCATAACATTAGCTATGGGTTCTCCTGAACACGGACGAACCAGTAGCAGCCCACCCCTGCTATGAACACTGCCCATAAATTGCCATGTTTATTGAAGGCAAAAAGGGAGGATCATGTTGACAGGATGGTATTTATTTAGTGTGCAATTCAATAAAATTCAGCAGAAACGAAATCGAATGTCATCATGCCTCATGGCTAAGTTTGTCATAATCCAGACTTCCGTATCTGGCAGCCTAATTAGCACAAAATTTCAATCAGACTAATAGGTGAATTCACCCACTTTGCAGTCATTGGATGCGTTTTGAACACAGAGCGCACACTGACACACCCTCCTCTGGCTCTCCTTTCTTACCCCACAATCTCCACTTTTGAGTGTTTGGTTTCAATAAATTTTCTTCATTCTTCTGGGATCCCATAGGAGCATCAGCCTCTCATTTTGTTTTCCATTTAGGGCAGGGGTCTCCAAAAGCTGGCAAGATTTAAGATTGTGGACTTCAACTCCCAGAATACCTCAACCAGCCATGGTAGCTAGGGAATTCTGGGAGTTGAAGTCCACAAGTCTTAAAGTTGCCAACTTTGAACACCCCTGATTTAGGGCTTCCCCTTCTGACTCCTGATCTTTCCTGTGCTGTGTACCAAAACAGGGTTATAGCGCATCCCTATCCATAGCCCCCCATACTTGCACTCTGCCGCTCCCAGCTAATAGCTTTGTCAGATCAGACCTGCACCACACAAAGCCATATTTCATGCATGGACAGCTTTGTTGAGCGGGGTTATTTGCTCAGTCCTGGAACAGTCTGTCTTCTGTCTTCACTTTGGTTGGAGTTGTGTGTCCCAATTCACAGCTGGTTGGAACATTGTGATCCAGTAGGAGAGAATTAATGGCTTTCCAGAGAGCTGTAGAGACACTGTCCAGTCATGGACATGACTTTGAATGAGAGGTTGTTATCCCAAACTGTTCATGGCTTTTCCTTCCTGCTTTTAGGAACGCCAAAACATCATCAGGTATTGGCTGGAGAACCTACGGGCCAAGCAGGGTGAAGTGCTGCATAACATCCACTTCCTGGAAGGGCAGCCAATCAGTGAGTTGCGGACGGGGTGGGGGGTGGGCAGCAGATGGGATGTACTCAGTGCTGTGCATCTGCCGGTTAAAACGAGAATTGGGGGTGGGGGAGTTTGCACACGTTTCCTTGCCATGCTGAATCTTCTCTGTGCCACGACTTTACATTTGCTCAATGCTAGCAAAGTCTAGTTTTGGAACTGAATATTTACCTATTCAAATTTCTATAGCCACCCTTCTCACATGTATGATATTGGACGACTTACAACAATTAACATAATTTCATTTTAATGTATGCTGATTAGTGCACATTCAAAGTGACAATATGTATTCTATTCTATATTCTATTCTATTCTATTCTATTCTATTCTATATTCTATTCTATTCTATTCTATTCTATTTATTCTATTCTATTCTATTCTATTTATTCTATTCTATTTTATTCTGTATTCTGTATTCTATATTCTATATTCTATATTCTATATTCTATATTCTATATTCTATATTCTATATTCTATATTCTATATTCTATATAGAGAGCCGAGGTGGCACAGTGGT